CTAGTAGCTACTTGCTCCTAGTAGTACGGGCAGGAGCCCCTAGTAGCATTCTTCCTCCTAGTAGCTTTTACCGTATGGCCTGGACAAAGTTGTAGAAACTTGGTGACCCTGTGGCGCAGCTCGCGTAACCTCAAAGTCTTCTGCGAAGTCCAACGGAGCCGTATTATACTGAGGGAAGATACTAGGAGACCAAATACTCTGAAAAGGGCGTAAACAGGGGTCAAATCTCTGCACATGCCCATGCGGCACAACAGCCTGTGCGACCTGAGCAAATACACGACCTTGCTGTCTCAGGATAGTGATGAATCGAGGACAAAACGATTAGCTGAGCCTGGCACTTTGAGTGAAGCAGCTGGCACCAGTCAGAATTAGGCCTGTGCCGAAGACTTCCAGAAAATTGAAGTATCTCTGTACATCTTCAAGAAAGGAAAAACGAACTCTATTGCTGAGGAAATCAGCCACTTACAAATTAGGAATGGAGTTGATACTTTCGATTGGGAGCGCAATCTTGAATGGCATTGAACATATATTGAATAGAAGGCAAGGTGAGGTTCTCCATTTTGGATAGAGGTTCACACAACATGGTGCTTGTCTTGAAGTGTCTCTGTTGCGAAGGTTGTCCACTCTCCAATAAGGAGTATGATCGACATTCAGAGCGCATTCACACAATGTCAGAGCAGGTGACATGATAGAGCGCTTCCTACACAGTGATGGAAACGATTACCTTAAAGTCTGGTTCGCAAATGAACCATAGGCAGCTTCAAATTGGCAAGGTTTGATTGTCGATCAACAGTGAGGCTGCCAATTCAATTCTTGTATGTAAAATCCTTCGAGGATGTCACTCATATAACATATAAGATCATGTAGGTCTTGTTTTGGCAGACCTCATCACTGCTAGAGGGTTGGATGCTGGCCTGGCGTTGGTCTTCTTGAGGTCTGATAGCTACCTACAACTGCCAAGTGGCCCATCGACAAGATCCAACCCAAGATCTTGCTGCCTCACTCTTGGAAGTGAGGTCTGGACAAGATTGATCGGAGTCAGCGTCATGGTCAAATTTGATCACAAACCACACTCAACTCAAATCTGCAATATCTGCCAGCGTGAAAGCAAACAAGTGAGGCAAGAGCCAACCCTCGTTACTTAACAAATCGGCCGATCGAGCGGCATCACACCAAGAACCTGGCTCTCTACAGTGTTCATTTGCTCTCCTTCGCTTTGTTTGGATGCCGCATGATGCCGCGACTCAGAAATGCAATAAAAGCATCCAAGCAACACCCTGGATCAAAGGCACGGGGAAAGCACCAGCCTCAAATCTGCGCAGCTACATGTAGTACTAATAGCGATGGCCTCCAACCTATATATATATAATAGCGATGGCCTCCAACCTGATTGCTAATTATTAGTATTTGCCAGTTTTGTCAAAGGTTAAATGCCAATGCTAATAGCTCTGCCTGCACAACTTATTGGCGCATAAGCTGCAAGTGCCTCGGCGTAATTAGCGAGGAAACATTGTCGCAAAATTTGGTCCTTTTGATTTCCTCTGTTTTTGCACGGCATCATGGCCACTTATGCGGACTCCTGAAGCACATACCTTGACCGTACCATACCGTACCTACCCAGCGGCATATTGCGATTGTTACAACACAGAACTAACTGTGGGAAGACATGTTCGGAGAGTCTGCAAAAAATGGCTCTTGCCACACGTGGTGATCATGGCATGACAAACTAGGAAACTTGCTGAGTCTGATAAAAGCCTTCTCCAGTGTGCGACCGAGTGGTCACTTCGAGCTGCATTGAAACTTAAAACAAACTCCGAGCTGTGCTCTCTAGTCTTGCAAGAATATTCGAGCGAACGGCGAACGCTTCTCAACAAAAGACAAGTAACTTAAGTCAATACGTGCTTTGACATGCAAGTAGCCAGTTGAGTGTCCGAAAGGATGTAATATGATGTGTATATATATATATGATGAGTTGTTGTTGGTAAATGCACGACCGAGGGCTGCCGTGCCGACTGAACATGTTTTTAGGATGGGGATGGGGATTAGGAACCTCAAAATGGTGTTTGTTGCCTATCCGGACTATGCATTCAAGTCTTCGTAGAGCTTTGAGAATGGCCCCCTTCACAGTCACTCTCATTCTTGTCAAGTTTGACCGTTCTCTATCAGAGCAGGCTTTTGATATGTACCACTCAGCATCTATCTATATACAAACAACAGCCAAAAATCCTGCTGCATCTAACATTTGCTGCTGATGCCGCCACCGAGCCACAGCAAACAAATGCTGAAAGCCGATGCTCGGCTTTAGCAATCTTTACATTCATCAAAGCCCTGACTGGTCTTTTCATCTATCTATTTTTTTGCTGAACCAGCAAGGTCAACAACAACCAAACATATTTAGGCATCTTTATTCTGAGTCGATGAAAATCCATTGATTCATGCTGAAACATAGAGTCTGCACTTTAGAACTGAACTTGGCAACCTCGAGTGTTCCTTCGCAAAATCAACACGAGTGCGCAAAATGGGCTTTGAGGGGCTGGCTACGGCAGGAGGCGTCCTACCATCAAACCTTCAGCGATGCTGGCATCTGCATTTGGGGTATGCTTGATCCATCTGTTGAGCCGTTCTCCTTCTTGCTCTTGCGATTTCCTGAAATGTCATTCCAGCGCTCCCTTAGCTCACCTGGGTGTCCAGGAGGTGGAGGCTCAAGAGCGCTCCACTGGGTTGCACGCTTACAACAAACCAAGAAAGACCCTAAGGTATGTGCATGTCCAATCACACGGTGCAACAAAAGCTCGCATCAAAAAGTATTGCAAAGGACTTGCCAAGAGGTCAAGTGCTGGCTCTTGCTGTGGTGAAGGTTAAATCCTTTCCTGCCAAGCCACTCACACATGGTCGAATGTACTTCCAGTTCCATGGCGGCCTGCCTAAAGAGCTACTCCTGCAAAAAGCAGGAGCTCTTGACGTGCATCAAGAGGATTTGCTCGTATATGGACACAACATGGTTTTCCAGATGGTTGCTTTTCAGGTTGTACTAGGAGATCATTGTTTTAAGCAGTTGTGGTGAACATCAAGACCTTGGCACACGGTTTGGTAAAAGACTGTTGGGTACCAAGAAAAAACAAATAAAACTAATCAAAGCTAGAAACAACTGCACTGCTCTTGTACACACGCAGGGCTTACAGGAATGCTAAGCTGTGCCTCAGATTTTTTGGCACACAAGTGTAGTTCTCTTTCTCGGGTGCCACGAGCCATCTGAAGAGCTCCAAAATGGCCTTGTCCGACAACACATGGTGGTGCTTCTGCTGCATCATCGACTCAGGTTTGCAGCACACCAACCAATGCTAAGGGTGTCTTGTGGCCAAGCAAAACACTCAGGAACAAAGTCTTGTCTTGAGTACATTTGAGAGATGTTGAATCTTGACAGCATGTGCAAGGTATAACTAGTATAACTGCCATGGCGAAGTCAGGGCTGAACGTTTGGTGTGATCTCACCCTGAATACGAAGTCAAGCGACTGATGCTCGATCCATGCTGTGGTTCATCCACGTCTTCGTAAATTTTTCGATTTTTTTCATCGTACCTCAGCATAACAACCAGTTGGATTTGCAGTCCCAAAGCTAATTGCTGTTGGTAGAAAAATGATTGAGGCCTTCATCTGCCAAAGGACATGTACAGTATGTTTTGTCTAGTTCCACCAAGTTGTTTCGGTCAAGTCTCTCCCAGGTGTAGCCTTCGCCTCTTCCACAGCACCTGCTGGGTGATTTGCAGGGGAGGGTGACAAACAAATATATGAACATGACTATAGGTTCCATGCACGCGCAAACACACTTAGATCCTTGCTCGCAAGAACTATATATATAGATCAGTTTGGAAGTTCCAACGTTACTGCAATTAGACCTTTAATGCATTAGACCTTGACTGGCGAACCGAACGGTGAAAGAGTCCACATCAACAGTATTGCTGAACATGGGTGAGATGAGGAGAGCTGGTGAAACGTTTGCAGGTACAGGAATGTGCGTCCACATTCCCCTCCGGCTGAATCCCATAGCTTCGTTGGCATGGCCAGGGAAACAGCTGCCATGCCCCCCTGCTGCACTGCACAAAAACAATGGAAAACTATTTTTGTGGTGTCAGGGTCCTGAGGAACAGGACTTGACACACACACGGAGCCGAATCCGGCACACACTAAACACGGCTGGCGCTTGACTGAAAAGAGGCTGATTACCAACCTAAAAAGTCTTTAGAAAAGAGAGAAGCCTAGAAAGAGGAACAAAATCTGGAAAGAACGAAAGCGGGGGAGACTAAACGAGGCCTAAACGTCAACCGAACAAGCCTGAAGAAAAGACCAAGCAAAGGAAAGAAAGCAAGGCGAGAAAGGGTGTGACTGTGAGGTGGGGCGAAGGGCGCTGGCCCGAAGGCACTTGGCCTTGACTAAAATTTAAACCTGCAACCTAACAAGCCTCTAATGAGAAAAACCCGGAATGAGAGAAAGCAAGACCGTGCCTGAATTACCCTGAGGATCCGATATTGAAAAATCAATATCGCAAAAAGTTTTCAGTAATATTGAACTTGATTTTTTCAATCGCAGGATTGTTTTTTCAATATTGAAGATTGAAAAATGATCAATATTTTTGATCAATATCGACCAATATCATGATCAATATCAAGACCAATATCAACGTCAGAAGGAACTCCACAGGATTCTAAACTCCACAGGAAGTCCACAGGATTCTAAACTCCACAGGAACTCCACAGGATCTCGACAGGGTTCTAAACTCCACAGGAACTGCACAGGATCTCCACAGGAACTCCACAGGATCTCCACGATCAATTTTGACCAATATCATGATCAATATCATGATGAATATTTGAAACCAGCATTGACCAACATCGACCAATATCATGACCAAAATTATATTGATCACGATATTGAATTTTTTGCTTCCAAGTTGACCATTTTCAATATTATTGAAAAATTTGGGACCAATCGTAAGATTGATTTCTTCAGTATCGGATCCTCAGGATATCAGTTTGTGAATACTCAGCAGCATGTCATGGCATTCTGGAGCACACTGCAGTAGGCCCAGTAGGCATAATGTCAGCGTTCTCGAGGAAAACGGTAAGGCAGCAAGTGTCGCGCAGGACCGACAACCTGAAGTTCATTCACCCTTGAGGGTATGCAAGTACAGCGCCCAAAGCTGAGTTCACACAGTGCATCGCTGTGGGACGGCACTGCGAGACACACTTAGATCCACGCTCGCAAGAGCTAAATCAGTTTGGAAGTTCCAATTCCAGCGTCAGTGCAATTGGGCCTTGGCTGGTGAACCGAACGGTGAAAGAGTCCGCATCAACAGTACTTTGATGTTCTGGTGGTTTGCTATTGTGTTAGGCTAGTTACACGTATTGTTAACTACATCATAACACATTTGCAATAGGGTTATAACTACTTATAACAAGTTACAATTGCCCTAAAGGCTTTATATTATCATCATTTTTTAAAGCTAATAACTAAAGGAAAATAATTGTTATGCTAATTTCATTAATGAACTTATTTCTTTAGGACAATGACTAATTTTACCCAAAAAAATAAACAAAGTTAGCACAGTTAACATAAACTTTAAAGGTTAAAAATTGACTAAAGAAAATGTTGTATGTTTATGTTGCCAAGGTTAGAGCAAGCCTTTGTCTACAGGCTCCAGATGCTTCAGACTCTACAGGCTCAAGTTGTTTCAGCATTTGCAGGCTCAGGTTGCTTCAGCCTCTACAGGCTCAAGTTGTTTCCGCCTCTACAGGCTCAGGTTGCTTCAGCCTCTGCAGGCTCAAGTTACATCAGCCTTTGCAAGCTCAAGTTGCTTCAGGCTTTTGTACAAGAGGAGATCCTGTGCAGGATCAAGTTGTGTTGATCTGTGCATGCTCAAATGGGTTTTTGCATTGCAGCCTGCCACAATGGCATTGTAACATTTTGTGGGGTGGGCAGCTACATACAATGAAAAGGTGAATGCGTTGAAGAGACAACCAACCACAACATAAGAACACAAGGGACAACCAACCACAACATAAGAACACATGAAAACACAAACAACACAGCATATGTAGGTGCTTTGTTCATGAACTTTTATTGTTTGCACACCATGGCTCTTCCTTGGGTGGTGGAGCTCAAGAAGATTTTGAATGACAATGAGATGGGCATCAACCAAAATGCTGCAAAAGCCTTGGCAGGGTCGCAGCAAGCAGGACTTGCATACACCGCAGTCTTGAAACCAAAAGAAGTCTTGATCCATCCTTCGAATCGAGGAGGACAGATGTGC